CAATGAGCAGGTTCTGATCGCCGACTTTTCGCAGTCTGCCTCAGTCCCCCAACAGCCTGCGCGGCCCTTGTTATCCCGGTCGACGACCGAGCCGGTATAATTTTCGGAGGCGTCAATACCATGGCAGGTGGCTGAATTTTACGGAGACTTGCCACGGTCTCCAACCCTCCTCCTTTCTCATCCGGGCTTGGGACCGGCCATGTTAACCAAATTCGCTGGGTTGAATGCAGTGTACAATTCCAACACAAGGAAACAAGTTCTTGAAGTATAAATATGGCTACGGATAATGGCATATTTGGAGGTATTCGGACAGGAGTGTGATTGGCTATGCCTAGTGATGCGGTTCTGTGCATGCATGGACAGGTGCTCAAATGCCATGGAGACGTAACCTTCTTAAATGGTTCCCAGGGCGATCAGAAGCAAGGGGATGGTGCCATTATGCAGTTTCAATCCAGGATCAAAAGAGAAAATGTTAAAAACAAGTAAACATAATTCAAAACTTGTGCATACGAAAAAAAATATTACCAGCGATTTCGAAAGTCAGTGGGGTATCTATTCAATGGCGGAGATTCCGGCAATATGTGCTCGAAGTAAGCTGAGGTGTACTGGATGGAACGGGAATCGCAGGTGTAGACGGCGTGAGAAGACGGCGGCGGCGCGGCGGCAGCGACACGGGATGAATATGGAACCTCAGGCTGAACGTCGTTCACGACTTCAATATGAAGAATGCCGTGCCTGGGCCAAATCTGCCTCACCTCCTCCAAACAGCTGGTCGGTTGACGAGCGAGGAAATGTAGGTACAAAAGGATGAACAGGAAGCAGAGCGCCTGCAGATGTTATGCGGAGTCATGCATAAAGTGAGTTATTCATTACCTTCACTAATAGCAGAAACTCAATAAGCCTTCTAGCAGAAGGACACAGCAGTCTAGCGTAGGTGAGCGACGTAAGAATGAAGAATTCGTGAACTATAGGGTCTCTCATGTTCAACAATGGGGCTTCATTGCCGCCTTCCATTCTAGCTGCACCTTGGACTGTTGGAGCAATGTTCAGACTGTCCCCTTGCTCCGTCGCGGCACCACTCATTGCCATTAACAACGACGAAGCACTCAGCCACAGACATACCCTTTCACAGCATCCGAGCCGACTTCACCACTTTAAACGGCCACCAACTTCGGCAAATGACCTTTCAGATTCGAAACAAGATAATCATTTGTACGCACAATGGGTATTTTACCTTTAAGTCTTTTAGAAGGCAATAATTGATGCTATACACGCAGATCAGCCACAATTAACTAAATTTCCATTGATTTATAGTATCAATGTATAATTAGTAAGTGCACATAAACATATGATATAGGTTACAGGTACAGTATGTAATATAATCAATTTACTTTTTCATATCTCACAGTCGCATACTCCATCCAATGAAGTGCTTGCATTTTGAAGCGAAGTCATTTGGAAAGTCATTCCATCTGGAAACACAAACACGTTGCTAATTCTGTCAAAGCAAAGGTAAGGAGAATTATCGAAAAACTGAATGAAAGCGCCATAATGCCTCTGGATTCTACCTATGAAACTGTGTTTTAGCTTCTGTAGGCCTGTCAGTAAGCGGAAATTTGCCATCCGTACATAGCATAAAGTAGAGAGTCGCCAGAGAGTCGAGTTGCGCGTCAGAGTACCAAGTCCAACCAATCTAAATGATCTGATACTGCCGGTTGGGAATAGGGAGACATTTGGCTGTGAGTATTTCCTGACGCACGACAGAGGACCCCGGTAACGATCATCTGTTAATTTTTCTGCTAAGAATAATTTGCAACTATTGTCGC